GTCCAGGAATTCCTGGACCTGGGACCTGGATGCCCTCTGGGTCAGAACGAACAAGAGTGGATGTGACTATCTTATTTTCTTTGCCTTGTGCTGCATGCTGGCAGGCTGGGTATGACAGACGATGAGAGCCTAGCAGTCTTCTCAGCCCTGATGATACAGTAGAATCACCTGGAGCGGACTTACAAATGACCGATGCCCAGGCCCCACCCCAGACCAATTAAATCAGAATCTGGGGGATGGGGCAAAGAAGGACCCAGAATGGTTGTTAAAGCTCCCAGGTGACCCCAATAAGCAGCCAGGGCTGAGGGCAGGTGAAGCAGGGGAGGAGGTAAATACATAGACATTCTGTCTAGGAAAGTAGGCCATGTCTCTGGGTTTTGATTGTGGGGACAGGATTCTGCAGTTGCTGCTCTAGGTTAGGTGGCTCTGACCACAGCCGCTTCCTGAGTTAGTAAGGACGTAAAGACTCTAAAAATACAACCCGGCATTCAGCTTTCTGACTCAAATGCCCTTCAACTTCAGACTAGGTTTTCTTCCTCTGATGCTTGTGAAATGAGGACATAAACAAAACCATCTTGGATGGCACCATGTCACATGAGATGCTTAAGTGAAGAAGCTAGGACCAGAATGCATCCTTGTCAGGTGGCCCATGTGAGAAAGGCGACGTTTCCTAAAAATACACCAAGAGCACCATGCATGAAATAAGAAAATTGTAAGTTAATAACACCAAAAAAGTCAACTGCTTCCTTCTTAAAATTGTTACAGGAATTTTGACACTTTTTTCTTTCGTTTCAAAGGAAAATGTCAAGTCACCGAGAATTTCCTGAGAAATCGTTTATTTCAGAGTAAAAGAACTATGTGTTTATAAAAATTCTAATGCAATTAATCTGTCATTTTAAAAACTTATGTCATAGCATAGCTCATCCTCATAGAGAGAAAAGATCAAGTCTGTTCATTGAAGGAAAACAACCACAGACAGTGAATAAATTGGAATAATCATAGTTTACACAGGGAAAAGATAATCCTCTCTTGATATACCTTGTACTTGCGTAACATTTTGCTTTTTCAAAATGTTTTAAAATTTATCCTCACCACACTTCCTTATACTTATAGAAAAAACTTTATAGGGTTCTTATTTTCAAGTTGCATCATTTCTATAAAGAAAATAAGTATTATTAGTCCATTTTAGAGATATGAATATTGAGATTCAGGGATGGACAATGACTTTCTCAAGGTTATAAATATTTAATAGAATGGCCAGAGAAAGAAGCAATGTCCTGGGGCTGGGGATATAGCTCAGTGGTACAGCGCTAGCCCAGAACGCATGAGGCCCCATATTCCATCACCAGTACCACAAAACAAAACAACAACAACCCACACAAAAAAAGGGCAGCAATGTCCTTTGACATTGCTGCTGGTATTCAACATCTTGCACATATCACAGTGTGAGGTTTGTGTTTGTGTGTGTGTGTGTGCGCACGCACGCGCACGCGTAAAGTCCAGTAGAAAACACCAATGCCATACAAAGAACTAGATTCTAGATTTCTATGTTGTTCTTTGTTAGCAAATCTCAATTTTAAAAATGTGTTCACCATTTCATGTTAGCATGTTTGATCAGAAGAGAGGATTATAGAATCAGCTTAATGAGTAACATTAATTTGCATGAAAAGCAGCTGCCCTAGACCTCTTTCTTTCCAAGTGCAGAAATTGACACATTTTTATTATAATTTGAAAGAATATATTCCTTAGCAAACATGTAATTTAAAAAAAAAAAGGTGATTGCTTGGATATTTTGCAAAGAATTAGTTCATTTAAATAAAATAAACTTAACAACAAACATTAAAATAATCCTTACCCTTGATGGATAGCCCAGTATAAAAGAGGACCTCCTATACCACTTGCCAGAAAAACTGGTCAAACGGCCACCACCTCTGATACCTGCCTGTTTCCCCATCCAAACCAGAACACAAACAACCTCAAATTTTAACAAGTTAAAGTTTTTTTTTTTTTTCAAACCTACCTGAAACATTTATATTTCTTTTATTTAGCGTCACTTGCATGTTATTATGGGAAAACACCTTCAGAGAAGACCCAGAATTCTGGTGGCTTGAGAAAGCAAGAAACAGAGGCTGGCTTGGGGCCTAGGTTGGAGCTGCACCATGTGCCTGGTTGGAACCTCCCAGGAACACCAAAGAAGGAAGGCCTCAGGCTCTTATTAGCTTGCCTAGGCACGGGGGACGGGGAGAGACAGCATGGTGAGGCTTAAAAGCTGTCAACAAACATCAAAAAGTGGAATCAGACTCTTTGGGACCAACCCTGTGAGGTAATTTGAAAATGAGGGAACAGACACCCCTGCTACAATTTCCAGATCCTGTGAGTTCCTTGTTCCTCAGATAACACAGAAGCACCTGGGACACCACATGCTTCCCCAGCCAGCACCAAGAGGCCCCCCAGAAAAGCTCAAGACAGCCTCACCCCTTTGGGTCCCAATTAGTGGTTCCTGGTTTTCTCAAAATTTTCCACACAAAGGGAAATTTCTAGATTCGAATGCCACTATTGTCAACATGACTGCTTTTGTAATTAGAGGAGGGGTGGCACTCTCTGTTTAAAAGAGTCTCTTCACACACAGATCAAATTCCATCTTCAATTTATCCTGTGAACAACCACACGGGCTGCAATAGGGACCTTCCCTCCCCTTATCTGTAGCTGAGTATGTGGGGATTTTGTTGTTGTTTTGTTTTTTTCTAATTTCTCTATTGAGGTTGCCTTTTGTAGTATTGTTATCTGTTTTGTTCTCTGTTCCTATAGAAATGAGAGTCTGGAGTCTTACTGCAAGCTCATGAAAGATTAAATTAAAATCATCAGGAATGAATTTTTTATGGGCTATAATGGCCATAAGGCCAGAAGCTCTTCTGGGTAACCAGGTCGGAACTGCTAAGTTTTCCTGTTAGAATTACAGTTACTGCACTCTCTCCAACGAGGACCTCGGAGCATCCAGTGTCCTTTCTCAGGTGGACAGTATTCACAAAGCCAAGCCTGCTGAAGTGGGAACTACACAGGAAACTGGAATCTGTTTTGAACCAGTTGGTTCTGCAATATTTATGTATTAGTTCATGACTTTTCTGAATAAATTACCTTATATATCAAGTCGCTACTTAAGACAAATCAAAATATTTGTGCTTCTCTGTTAGTCATCTTTTGAAAGCACTAACACACTCTTCCCCTTTCTTGAAGATTTCTTATATCTAATTTTAGAGTCACCAAAAAAAAAAAAAAAAATCTCCGAGTTGTGTTAAATTCCCAATGCCCAGTCTTCTTCAGGTTGATCTGAACTAATGTGCACACTCACCTTCTTTCTCCTGCCTATTCCCACTATATTCTGGGTGCAGGTCAGCTCTTTATTTCAAAGGAGGAATTCAGACCTTGTTGTAAATGCAACAATCATTTAATAGAAGCTGCCGGACAACTCACTTCTTCAGGAAAAGTCATATAAATCATCAATCAGCAGGGAGAATTAGTATGATTCATTCTCTGATTTTTCATTTGCATTTCTCATTTTGGCAAAAGCAAGACTTTGTTCTAATGGTTAGGATGGTTCCACTAGGCACTTCTCCTAAAGAGCTGACATACCCCAAACATACTCCTGGTGTTCATATCACAAAATTCACCACCACCATCATCATCCTTGAAGGAATTAAAGCGTCTTGAAACCAGTTAACAAAGAAGAAGAAAAAAATACTGAAAATACAAACTCGAGCTCATAATTCGCTATCAAATAAAAAAAAGATTCTAGACGAATAGCAAAAATTCAGTCAAGGTCAAGCTTTTCAATCCCATTTACCTCCGCTAAATAAATAAATAAATAAAGTCTATGTTATAAACAGAGAGACCTTTTTCCCCTTTTTAGAAAAGCCCATTTGAGCACCGTCAAAGTAACTCTTCTTTGTATCATATTTGCATGAAACAAACTCCTCCACCCTAAATATAAGGAAGAAAGCAAGCGATCCCAAATACTCTCCACGTTCACGTGGTTTGATTTAATCATTTCGGATTCATCCTTACCCTGGAAAGAGACTTGAGGATTTTCTACCTACACACTTGGCCCTACCAATTCGCCCTCTGAAAATGTGAATGCGAATGGGTGTCGCCGAGCTTCAATATACTTGGAAAAGCCTCATTTATTATTTTGTACCAAATTCTCTTGGAAATCTCTAATTCAAGGACGGTGGCTAGCCCGCTCGCCTTCCTTCTACCGCCACACTCTTCTGGGAGTCGTCCCTGTGCCCTGCTCACACCCTGGCTGCCAGCCCCCAGAGTACGCCTCGAGGAGCGTCCAGCCAGAAGGGCGACGCCGCCAGCCCCACGCTTAAGGGCGCCGCGAATGCCTCGCACTGTTCCAGTGCCCTCTCCCACGCCTAGAAAGGGCTGGTTGCAGGCCGAGTGGAGGCAGCTGCCCTCCGGCCTATGGCTGCTTGTCAGAGCTCTTCTAAGTGGAGGGAGGAGAGGAAAGTAGTGGACCACCTGGCACCCGGCCCACCGCCACCTGCCTCCCACATCATGCACCCTCGACACACATAGGGTCCAATGGGACAGGAAGCAGGGGCTAGCTGAACACCCAACACCTCACTAGGGATGCTTGGAGCCGGCTCCTCTGGGCTGCCACCCTGGGCACGGAGACCGCGCTCTAGCAGAAATTGGCTCGGTCGGGGCCAGGAGGGGCGCGCCACTCTGTGGCCAGCGGTCGTGACAAGAGTACTGGGGCTGGGGTGGTTTCTGGGCCCTGGGCTGGCATCGCCCGCGAATTAGTGTGGGCAGGGGAGCCGCACCTAGCCGCACCTAAAGGATCGGTCCAGAGGTAGGTTCCTTTCGCTCCCTAAAGTGGCAAAAGCCAGTCTCGGGCGTGCTGGAGCCCCGCGTCAGGCAGCAGCAGCAAGGGCGGGCAGGGAGAGGACGCGGGTCTCCAGCCTGCCCTTCTCCCCGCGCGTGCCGCGTCCACTCACCTGGCAGTCGCTGCCGGAGACCCCAGCGGGACAAGTGCAACTGTAGCCGCGCTCCCCCGCGGAGACGGCATGCTCCTGGCCGGGCGCTGGATGTGGGGTGCACACGCCCCCGTTCCGGCACGGCTGTGCTGCACACGGTCCGGGTGCAGTCAGGGGCGCGGCGGGCACCGGGCTGGCGAGGCAGCCACCGTGGGGCCCAGCACTGAGCAGCAGCGGCAGCAGGGCCAGCGCGGGCAGCAGCTGCGCACCGGGCGCCTGGGCGCGGCGGGGAGGCATGGCTGGCCGGGAGGGCGCGGGAGCTAGAGCAGAAGCTGGGGCGCGGTGGCAGTGGTGGCGGCAGCGACCGTGGCGTCTGGGGCTGCTCGGCGGGGCCAGACGCCTCCTGCAGCTGCGGGGATCCGTGGTTCCCCAGGCAACCGCGGGCGGGGCTGGAGGGGCGGGGCTAACGGGGGCGGGGCACCAGGGAGGAGGACAGAGGAGTAGGAACCCTTTCCTTGTAGGGAGTTGGGGCTGGAGTTCCAGGAAGACTGCCCTGGGTCCTCGGCCCTAAGGGGTCGGTGTCGCGAGCTTGTCCGAAAGCCCCGAGTGCGCAGCGATGGTAGCGCGAGACTGTAAGGGGAGCTAGGAGATGCTTGGGCAGGAGAGAGGATGGAGAGGTCCACGCAGGCTGGAGGGAGGACTTGACTGCTAGCAGCAGCCACCCGCGGCCTCTTGGCGCAGAATCTGTGACACCGCAGCGGGCACCGGCCTGACCTCATTCTCCGGGGCTGCTCCACCCGCTCCCACAACACTTGACACTTTCCCCAGCACACTTTCCTGCACCACCACAGAACCCAACGCCCAGATTGCTTGGAAGTGACTTCGTGTCCTATGGTGGGCCCTGGGCCCTTGTCCTTGGTGCTGACCGAGTCCGGTCTCTTCTCGCTGGCCCTATCCTGAGTTCAGAGCCCGCGGTGTCACTTAGAAATGCTTGTCCTTAGCTTGTGAGAGCTGGAAGAGGCCTCTGGATCAAAGTTCCCAACCTTGTTGTTAAACCAAGGAGGAAGTCCAGACCCAGTAGGTTAATTGACTCCCAGCCCAGAATTTTGTCAGAACAGTTTAAAAGCGCCGGTTCGCAAAGGCCCTGTGGGCAAGTGGACTTCCTGCTGATCTCTGCATGCAAGGATCATTCACAGTGACCTGTCTTGGGGACCTTTCTGAATGTCCTGCTTCCACCGCCAAAGAGGCCACTCTCCTCGGCCCAAAACTCAGCCCCGCTTTGTCTCCACCACCTGAACTTTCACAACCTCTACTTTGCATAGGCTCCCCAGAACTTGTTACCTTGTTTTTAAGGTGGCCTCATGGAAAAAAAAAATGACCCCTTTCAGTTGATGGGTTTGATGGGTTTTTTTAGGGTTCACATAAATAGGTTTGTAAAAACTGGGCAAATAAGAAAGTAGGGAGTCCAAATGCTTGAGGAGACACAGATGAGCAGCCAGGGGCCATTAGAAGTCCTCCAGGAGGAAACAGGAGGCAAACTGTTCAGCCCTGTTCAGACACAGACACAAATGGCAGAGGTTTGTGCTTTAGGAGATTGCCTAAAATTCATGTGACATTGAAGGAAACCAGAGAGGTCTTCATGCAGCAGAGGAAATTCATACCTCCAAGTGGATCCAAACAGTATTACATTTTCCCTCACACCTGCTGTCTTTTTATCTGAGACCTCCTCTTAAGGGAAAAAAAAAATCTTAATTTTGTGCCACGCCAGCACCCTCTGCTGGCACTAGTCTCATTATTCATGTGGTTTTGCACTTTCTGTGCCCCTGGAATCTACATCCTTTCTCCTGACACTAACTCTTCTATTCCAAGTCCCAGATTTATGGATAGTGCCACTCACTTCCTTCCACCACCACACACATGAATAAAGCAAAGGATTCGGTTTTTAAAATGTTGTAAGCTAATTAAAATCACATTTTTAGTTGATTACATTTTTGCCTAAGGGACCCCTTTGTGAATTACATAATACTTTGAAATAGAAGCCAATTAACAAGAGAGTTTATATTCTAAATGCTGATTTCTGAATTTTCCAGATAATATTCCATTTTTTAAAAGTCTGTCGTTAATCTTTAATAGTCATATTATTGCATAAACAATACGAGACCATTTTAGTTTTCTCCATACTAAAAAGGAAGACTAAATCTTTCAGTTTATAGGTAGAGCCATGTGATTAGTTTTGGAAAATAGAACATGGATTTGTATGCCCTGGCTCCAAAACATTGATACTCTAAGAACCACAGGTAATTACCATTGCCATGCTCAGAGAACTAGGCCTTTCCTATAGGCTCTGAAGGCTGGAAACTTGGCTGACAGTTTCCAACCATCTGTAAGACCCCCAAATACTCAACTACAAAGTCCAACTAATGCATTATCTTGTCTATTAACAGAAGTGATGAAAATAATATTTGCTTTACATTTAAGTGAAAGATAGAAATTTAATCATCCATGCCTTTGTTTATTATTCTAAACTTGTAGAACATCAAGTCTTCATCCATTTTCTTCATCTGTTTTGGACTTGTATAACAGAATGCAACAGACTGGGACATGTATAATGGAGAAACTTATAGACTCACAGATGAGGAAGCCCAATAACAAGGACTGGCACTTGTTAACGGTCTTCTTGCTGCATCATCTCATGGTAGAAAACAGAAAGACAAGAGAGTGCAAGAGGGGCCCTAACCTGCCCTTTTATAACGCCATTAATCCCACCCATGAGAGCAGAGTCCTATTTAAGAAGGCTTTTCGGAGGTAAAAATTGCATCACAAGGGCGCAAACTTCATCAAAGGATTGATGGGTCATGGCTAAATTGACTACAGAGAGGTGAAAACTGTAGAAGGTGGGACCTAGTTGGAGGAAGAAGGGCACTGGGGGTGTGCCCTGAAAGGGTATATCTTGTCCCTAGCATGTATGTGTGTGTTTCTCTCTCTCCAACCCCTTCCCTCCCTCCTGCCCCGCTCTCTCCCTCTACTTCCCTACTACCATGAGTGGACAGCTTTCCTCTACCATGCCCTTCTGCCATGATGCTGTGACTCATATCAGTCCCTAAACAATGGAGCCAGCTGACCAGGACATGAGACCTCTGAAACTGTGAGCCAAAATGAGTAATTCCCCTTTCAAGTGGTTTATCATGTATTTTGGTCACAACAAGGAAAAACTGACTAACAGGGTCACCTGGTATGACCTCCTAGGGCTTGAACTAACATTCCAACTGGAACACTGACATGGGGTGACAATCACCTCCAGCTTATAGGGAGCACCACAGATAGCTACCTTCTCTCCAGAGCCTCTCAGTGTTCTGCAGCCATTGGCAAGGTGGTCCCTGCACTTGTCTCCCACTCACAGAGTTGCCTGCAGACAGCACTCACTCCTCTGCCTCTGAGGACATCAGGGAATGCCTGTGCCCCTGCAGAGAAAAGGCCTGAACTTTGGACTGAAGCTGCAGTCCCCTTGAAAGAAAACTCAGCCACACACAGAGAGAAGAGACCTTTTTCCTGGCGATGATTTCCTTTCCAACAGTACCAAACAGCTTCCTCTGGTCACAGTAGTTTTAGGAGGACCTGTAAGCCCATTAGGCAAGTTACTTTGTCTCTTGGACTTTCGGATTCCACATAACATGGAGATAGAAATCCCTACTTTATAGACCTCTTGGGAGAAATAAATATAATGATGGTAATAATGCAGAGAATTTACAGTGAGCCAGGCACTAATATGAGTATATCTTACATATTACCTCACTTAATCCTAATGTCATCACCTTGAAGTAGAAACCATGACCTGTACCGAAATAAAAGAGAAAATTGAGCTGAGCATGATGATCACAGTGACTCAAGAGGCCAAGTTAGAAGGATCACAAATTCAAGGCCAGCCTGGGCAGCTTAGTGAGACCTGTCTCAAGGACAAAATAAAAACAGATGGGGATGAAACTCAGTGGTGGAGGGCCTCTGGGTTCAATCCTTAGTACATGAAGCAGGGATAGAGGTAGAGATACAGAGACATGTACACACATATATGTATATAAGTGTAATGCATGCCATCATATATAGTCAGCTCTCGGAATCCATGGGTTTGACAACCAACTATGGATCAAAAATACTTGGAAGAAAAATTACCGCTGTACTGAACATATGCCAACTTTTGTTCTTTGTCATTATTTCCTAAACAATATGCCATACCCTATCAACTATTTACATAGACTTTGCACTGTATTAAGTATTATAAGTAATAGAGATGATTCAAAGCTTACAGGAGAATATGTGTAGGTTTTGCAAATGCTATGCCTTTTTATATGAGGGAACCGAGCATCCATGGATTTTGATATTTGTGGAGGGTCCTAGAACCATTTCCCACAGATACCAAGAAACAACTGTATCTGTATGCTATTTATATCCTATATGCATGTATAAAGTGCATGCCATATATGTATGTGTGACCCACAGGTCATGTATGTGATGTGTGTATGGTATACATGTACAATGTTGCATGGTATGGTGCACAGTATCTGTCAAGTTTTGACTTACTTATCAAGAAGCGACTGAGGGTTTTACTTTGTTTGCTTACTTGCTTTCTGATTAAGGTGACTACTACTCCTGAGTTGCAGAATTTCAACACGTCAAAATGGGACACACTCCAAAGATCTTATCCAAGGAGGAAGATGAGGCACTGAGGAGATGAATCACTACCTCAGGCCAGGTAGCAGCAGAAGCAGAATGAGACCCCAGTTTCCAGATGGCCAGTCTTATGTTCTTTTCACTGACCTGATCATCATCAAGCCAAAGGGCAGTGTAAAAATATAAATAAAGTTCATGGCAGTTCTAAGGATCTTCAAAGAATCTTTACAAAAAATGGACATGTTTTGCACAGGCTACAGCCAAGAACACCAGAACAATTGTCTTATTCCTGCAATTAGTAGTATCCTTATGATAATGAGTCACTGAAGTGTTTTAGCATATATACTGAGGTTATCTTATTCTGAATCATCACAGAACAATTCTCAAATGCTGTTTGAGATAGGCTCACATTTACTTTCTTCCCTCTAGACTTGTTCTGATTTGAATTAAACCACTGTTCTAGCAGCTGTTTAAAGAAGTTTTAATTTCTTTTACATTATCACTCTCATATTGATTTGATCTAGGGCAGGTTTAAATGAGAGGCCTTGAATATAGACTCGAAGGAAGCATATCTTCCCTATATAAATATTTCATAAAGCACTTGAACTACCACCATATGGAAATCAGATCTT